ATTCCTTTCTACTTGTGGTACTGCATTACATTTCAAATTTAATTAAACCACTTTATTTTCAATATATGTCAATGAAATTAACGTTGCAATGTATGTTATAATTTGAATTTTATATTATCTAAATTCCTTTGTTTCAAAGAAAGCATTAAAAAAAATTTAAACTGCAGTTTTATTGTCACATGATTCATGCACTATGAAAATTTTCCACTTTAGCAGGAGCTGAGTGTAAACACATAAGCTTGTCATGTATATAAATGTCTAGGTGGCAATGTGCCCCTTTGACAAGTAAGATATAAAGTCTTACAACTGTATTCACTTGGAAAGAGTAATAAATTTTTCAACCCATAATGGTTGCCACACCCACCTTCTATACTTTGCTGTGATATACAATGTACAAGTAGTTAGTTGACGCAAGTGTATATAGTCGTTAGGAAGAGCTCAGTTTACACTAATGGTTAATTTGAAATTGGCACACAGTTTTCGTCATGGTGTACATGTAACTGCATTTAGTATTGTTGTCTACTTGATTAACTATGGCACTTACAGTGGTTTCTTACCTAAGTATGCTATAGTTAGAGAGATAGTTAAATTGTATTAGATCTTACTTTTATATTTAATTTAATTATGTATTATTTGTGTTTTAAAAATCATATTTGAAAGGTTTAATGATTTTATGTTTAACTTGTTGTTGCCTGGATTGCAAAAGTGTATAAACAAGATGGCATCATTCATGTGTGCAAAGCATTAGTGAAACTAGTCTCTGTACAGGAGTCACCACATAATAATAATAATAAAGCCCAGTGAGCACCAACTGATGTATCAGCATAAATAAGAAAAGACAAAAAAAAATGAGAAAGGAAAATTAAAAATAAACTATAAGTGAAAAGATAAAGAGGTGAAATTACACATTAAAAAAACACGTTTCAAAAAACTTCTACAAAAGGTTAAAAGGTATGTACATATTTCCACTTTGTAATTTTAGACATTTCATTGCACTGTACATTGATAATAATAGGTAGAGTCAGTGATATAATAGACAAAATGCAAAATAAAATATAAACATTTACCTTAAAAACTTTTGATATTTATATAGGAGGTTCTAGAGATTATGCAAATGAAATGTAAAACTATAAGATAATAAATAGTATTTTTGTACTTCATGTAAAAATCACCTTGCAGGTGAACTATTTAGAGTCCGAGTGCAAATAACTATGTTAAATAATGAATTTATTTATTAGGAATAGTAGAAAAAGATATAATATTTTATTTTTCTGAAACTAAATACTTTTCGGAACATTCTTGTCAAATTATAAACATTTTCATCCTCCAGTTTTATTTTTGTAATGAAATATGATGAGAGCGACATTACCCTCTCTCTCAGAGAAAAGCTGGAGGTGAAAGGGTTAATATCTCTAATGCTCATTGATGAGATGGGGTGTTCCACAAGACTTCTTGAGGTTTTTTTTTACTTTATATTGCTTCATAAATAAGGTCCATTCCAGACCATACTAAATCATGGACTATCATGAATAAAGCAGTGTTAGGATTGCTGCCCATCCATCTGGTCCTAGTTGAATTAACAAATACTGTCCTTCTTTTAAAAATAGTGTTTTCTTGGTCACTCATTTCACAGTCTTAAGGGGATGTGTTGCTCCAGACTCCCCATCACATTTTTCTCCCCTCTTCTAGTGGAGTGCAGGAATCCTTGCCACTTACCAATTCTTAGCCACTGGTGTGGTGGGCTGTGGAGGCTTCCTCCTGAGTGTGACCACTTCCACTCAGTCAAAAATAGGGCAGCAGTGTTCTGCTGGTGTAGATGATGTGTACTCTCCTCCTACCATAGCCCAGAATATGTGTATCCAATGCTGCCTGGTTTTGGACGAGACGAATCTTTCACATGTAGTTCACTCCTCCAGCTGGCTTTCCCCCATCCTACCACCACATGGTTGCCATTTCCCAGGCAGTCTAGTGTTTGACTGGTGCAGGACCAGCAAACATAAGTCCTCACATATGTGGTTGGTAGGGACCCTCCTCATACCACAAATGGGATGACAAATTCCTGATGCCACCTGGATTTGGAATGGAATTGACCCACCATGTTTACATTCCCCCTTACTACTGTTGCCTGGATATCAGGTTCCTGGGTGGCCTGGTGTTGGTTGTGTACTGGGTTTTGCACACATGTGCCCTACCTAGGATGCTGGAATGAAAGTTACTTTCTCCTTCTGCTTACTGGTCTTGAGGTGAAGACAGTTGAGACCATCCTCCTACTGTGGACTTGATGACCAATACCCGATACCTCCTGGTTTTGGTCTGTAGTTGACCCACTCAATACATCTGACATACCCTAGCCACTCTATACATCTGGTACATCTATTTCCACTATCAGATTTGTATCCTTTCTGACTGGCATGGTGGCAAGTAACTTCAATTTAGGCAAAGAGTATACCCTGGTATAGATGAGGTGTGGTCTCCCATGGGTGTGACCCTATCTTTTTTTGATTTAGGAATTTTTTCTTATGCTTCCTTTCTGTTTCTGGTGCCACACATATCCTTGTGGTTATAGTGTAGGACTCCAGATTAGAAGTGCTGAAAGTTGAGCCATGTGATATACCACTGCACATATTCAGTTTTGAAGGTATTGTAATTATAATAGTCAATCCTGGTGTTCAGTTAAGCAGCTATATAAGAAGAAGATGTGGCTAACTGGTTACTTTCTTTCTGGTTGGTAATTCTAAAGGGGCAAAGGATAAGCCTGAACCTATGAGTCTCTAATCTGGTCATTTAACACATGTATGTAGCAAAGGTGCCATTCAGATTGAAATTACTGCTTATCAAACTCTGTTTTGAATTTTTTCACTGTTATTGAGATCGATTTGTTTAAAAGAAAATTTGTGATATGAAAAAGATTTATGTTGAAACCAGTGTGGCAGCATTAAAAAATATGTTTATATGAATTTTAACCAAGATTTAACATACTGTTACCTATCCGTTTGTTAATTAACTTTCCGTAACTTCGTTCCGACGAAACTTTAGCGACACAAGTCCTTACTTAATAAAACTGGTTTATTCTTTCCGAATATAACTTTACGATACACTTAATTTCAACAATCGCGCTAAAACTAACGCTATAAGAACGAACGTGCTCAATAATACTCTCTGACTGCGGATCAATTACTCACTGTCTGCACACACATTATTATTGTCCCGTCACATTGTCATCCTCTTTTATGTACCAGACTACCCTATATCTAGTAAATGCTAGGGCATTCACCAAGGTACAGGATAGTTCTAGAAATGTAGCGTGACACTAGTCATGTGACCTCACTGACGCAACATTGCCCCTTCCTTAGTTTTGTTCGTCCCGAACAATAACCACATACAATAAACCAATAACAAT